GGGCAAGCTCTCTGCCTGGTGGAGACCATAAGCAAAAACAGTGGTCACAGGCTACCAACAGATACGTAGGTCTCACAAGCAAGAAGGGGCAGAATTCCTGTGCCCTGCTGCACAGCCTCCCACACCCACCGCTGCAGCACCTGGTCCTTAGTTCTTCCCTCTTCCTCAGAGGAACCTTCCTGCTCGCTGGGCTCCTACGGCCGCCCTGTGTGAAGCTTCTGCCCCCGGCAAAACTTTAGCGTCCACCTACACAAGCCACAGCAGACCTGCGTACGCGCTGCGCTCTTCGCCCTCCCGAAAAAATTTAAAGGCTGGGGGAGGGGTGGTGACCGCGGTTGCCCCGGCAACTCCCATGCCCCGTCAGCCTCTCGCGGGAGAGCGGTCGGGATATTCCTCTTCCTCGGGGTTTTCCTGTCAAAGGAATCTCCCGAAAACCTCCCTGTACCTTGCGATCAGTTGGTCCGGTGGAGCTGGGTCGGCTCCGAAGCAGCTGATTTCGGCGACTGAGATTTAGACAACTGGTCTTAAGTTTTCAGATGTCTCAATTTACTTGCCCAGTCCAAGGTGGTATATATGCACACTGACTATTTATATGCATACCTGGCTGTGGCCTGCGAAATTTCTGAAAACACAGTGCAAAGTAACAGTATGCACTGCAAACATAACAAAGGTTAATCAAAATCCATGATCAAGGAAATCCCATACAATTTCCTAACTCCAAATTTTGTCAAAAAGCCTGAAGGAAAACCAGAAGTGCTTACGAGATGCTGCTGTCATTACTCAACACAATTACATTCAAATACAGAAGCCAGGTTTCAAACACTGAAACGCTAGAGCATGAAGGCATTCTCATTTCAGCTAAGCTGTCTAGAGTATGAGTCAGCATGCAATACATTAAAGCTTTTAAAATAAAACTGGAGAGGCTATTTATAATGAAAAATAATAGTTGTTGGCATTTATTAGTAGTGTTCATACTCAAAAGACTCTGAAACAGGCCCCAAATCATTAAAGTCAAGCTTAAAACTAAATCATTGTCATATGGCCACAATGTAAGCTAAAGCTTGTGTCAGTGATTGTGGGAAAAAGGAAGGAAAAAACCCGCATCCATGAAGAAATTACAGCTGTGGTTTGGAATACGCATGAAGCAGCTTTCTGCAGCTCAATGAAAAACAATCACTCTTAAAGCAGCAGAAATAGTTGTGTTCAAGAGTCGTAACACCCTACACTGGACGTATTTCGTTTGTCTTTTTGGTGAGCAATGACTAGTTAGGTGTATTATGCTTGGCATTTTAAAAGGAAATAATTTGGGAATACGGAAACACCACAGTTAACACCCTTGAAGCCTACGGCATTTCTTTTTAACAGAGCTAGAAAAGACCACCATGTGTCTCAAGACAGAAAAAATTATAAAAATTTTAAATGAAGGAAAGTTACATTTGTGGTTTATGGAATAGTTTTTCTAAGGAAGACAGATTATTTTTGCTAAAGTTGTTCAACTTGTTTTTTCTTTTCTCTCTGCTTCCACAGAGGACTTACATCTTCACTTTCCTATTGAGCTCACGAGTCTTCATTCACCCACACGAGCTCCTGGCTAAAGTGGGGCAGATCTGCATTAAACAGAAGCAGCAGCTAGAAACGGGGACTGAGGCAGAAAAGGTAAATGAACCATTATGTCCTTCAGTTAGCTGTGCTGCTATCATTTATTTGCCACTATCTCCTTCTCATTGTAAAGCTAAATAGATTGATAAAGAATAAATTGAAACTGTAATAGGCATGTGTTACTGCGTGCACTTTTACTTAGGTCTTTTTCCTTGAAGCGCTGTTGGTTCTTTGCAAACATGGGTTATGTACTACCTCACCAGTAGGAGACAGTGGCTGGAAATACAATTTTGCTCATGAGCTACAGGTCAGTGCTGTGCACTGGAGCAATGCTTATCTGCCATGAAACCTGCCCAGCAAGTCGCTTTGCGCTTTCAGGCTTTCACCAAGTTATGCCTTTCTTGAATCTGATTCCCCTTTCTCCAGTCACCCTCACCGTCTTGTTAGAGTTGAGCGCTCTGCTGTAGGTTATCAGTGGGGCATTTTAAGTTGGTGTAACAGTAAATCAGAAAGTTACTTCTCAAAAAAATTAAGGGATGCACTACTGAAAATGGTAGCCTGCGCTGACACGTGACTATGACTATGCAGTTTTACTACACCTGATTAAACCAAACCAAGCTTATCATATGCACTTAAATCCAAGTCTCACCATTATGGAAAGTGTTTATTAAGGGCTTTTGACTGAAATTGAAGTACCAGATTAGTCTGAGGTGGGATGCAAATAAGACCAACAGAAACAAAGATGAAATCAACAAGTATTTAAAGACCGTTCAAATCCTGGACATGTTTTGTATCAATTCTTCTATGGTGAGAAATTACATTCCTAATCTTCAGCATGTTGATAGTCCCATTTTGTTTTCTCCTTGTTGTATCAGGACTCTGAGTGGTGAGTACAAAAGGCAACCCTGTGCTTTGGCAATACAGAGTTTTTAACAGCAATACTGACCTAAGGGCTTCTTTCTCCCTTACTGTTCCTGGGGTACAGTCTCATACCTTATCACAAAATTACTCCACAGGAAAAACTTACCATTTGGTGCAAAATTATTTTCATCCAGATCAGTCCCCTGATCTACTCACCCAATAGCTACATAACTCATCATGTAGATGCTAGGGAATTCAAGGGGCCGGGGGAAGAAGTTGCAAGAAGCACAGCATCCAGCTTTGTACACAGAGATGATAACCATTCCATCTCCCCTGCTAAATAGTTCATGGCTGAGCAAGCTCAAACTGATGCTCTGTAAATTGTAGTGGTTCCTCAGCAACATATAACTAAACAACAGAGGTAGGAACTTGTGAGAGATGCTGGAACCACCTGAAACACGAAATGAGTATAGCTGATCTGTAGACATATGAAAAAGGAAGACTGCTGTCAGTAGGTAGTGTCAAAATACAGACGTGAAATACTTGGATTTAAGAATAATGGAATATAAGATAAAACTTTTGTGAAAGACAATACACTTAGGAGATTTTAAAAACAGAAACAGTATCTGGGGACTAAATCACCTGGCTGTTTAAAGAGATTAGTTGTAAAATAGTATTATTATGGATTTTCAGCAGATGTGTTAAAAAAATCATGGCTTCCACGTTGAAACAAAATAGCATTACATCCTAACAACAGGATGTAAAGTAGAGCAGCTCGTATTCCAAACACCCACACTCTTACACCTTCTGCTGACAATTTGGAAATAGGCCTACAGAAAAACCAACAAACAGCAAGGTGACAATAAAACATGAGCGTTTGCGAGGCCGCTTTAATTTTCATGCTTTGCTGGTTGCATTTCCTGCTATGGCCTTATCCCTTACTACCCCTTTAATGTAAACTGTAATTTTTTCCTGCCCACTAAACACAAAATTCTTGGAAAACACAACATAAACTTCTGACATCCCTCTCAAGTGACTGCTTGACTGTCCTCTACTGCAAGTACCTGTATGTTTTACAGAATAATTTGGCCACTAGCATTTGCAAACATTTGGTTTTTTATCTGGCAACAAATAAAAGCTCATTTCACATGCAGCATAGAAATTCTCAACTCAAGGCATTCCACATATTCACAATCATAACCCATTAAGGTATCATCCGCCGTCAGCACCTTCTAATTAAGTGGCTCTGTAACAGGAAATAGCTGGCAAAAGTAGTTAGAGTGGCTCTGATAATTTCTGATAAGAGATTTGCATAAGTAAACAAGAAGCTGACTGACTTTTTGCCTGGGTTAGTGATTGAGCTGAAAAATTGGCAAGCAGCCATGTTTTGAGGTTACATACCACAATACTTACCATTCCATTGTTTCTGACATTACTGGCTAGCCAAAAAGTCCTGTAGAAAACAACCCAGAGAAGAGTGGATTAAAAAGGGATGTCCTGGAGCATGCTTTGAGTCCTTTTGGCCACTCATAAAAAGGAAGGGTTTCACAGTTTAAGACACCAATTATAATATCCAGGTCAGCAGTTAAGGTTGACCATAAAGGATAAAATTTAACTCTCCATAAACCCATTAGATATTGGAAAGACCCAGATAAGATTGTCACAGGAAAAAAAAAAAAAAAGTTAGTATGGTATTGTTCAGTGGAAAAAACTGTTGTTAAAACTGTGGTGCATTATTTTCTGCAGCTTGAGAGTATTTTTTAAATAAAAAGGTAAAGAAGTAAGAAATAGAAAGTAGAAGTTAGTTTCCATTAAGCTTGTCTTTCCTGTCTTGGAATACCTAAGTCCTTTCAAAAATTTTTATTTCTCTTGGGTTTTGTCACCAGTAAATTCTCCTTTTTAAAAACAAAAATCAAAACAATACTCATAACCAGGTCATTGTCATTAAACCTCCCTTTCCTACCAGCACAGTACTGCTATTACCCTCCTTTCTAATTGGTGGTCATTTCTCAGTACTGTCTGTCTTGTCTCATGCAGAACAGGTCTGATCCACAGTACTTAAAGTAACAGAAGTATTTTTCTTCTCAAAAGAAATATTTATGGGAGAAGTATTCCCATAGACTCCAGAGAACTCTGTGTCAGGCCTTACAAGGGAAGGCTTACATCTGGAGTAGGAGTACAGAAAAAGTAGGTCAGTAGGTTTATCGCCACTATAACAAAAAGTGTGCTGCTACCCACATATCTGTGTGATTTCTATCTAGGTTATCACAAATTATGTGCATCAAGCCTGTCACACTGCTTTGGGTTTCATCAGAGTGCACAAGAGACAGGGAGTCTCATGCTTTCCTATACTGATGGGTTTTAGTGTTGCTCTCAGAAAGAATACTTTATTTTTACGAGCATTAAAAGCATCTGATAAAACATTAAGGTTTTTATACACATGAAGAGTAATTACATGAAGAGTAATATGGTTTGCAGCTTGTCTTGGAACAGATGCCTAACTTTCCATCATGAAAGAAGCAAACCCTAGCCACTCATGAGTAGATGCATGAGATGGGGAAGTCACTGTTCATATGGAGATGCTTGCCACGGCCTAAGGAAGGCTTTTGAAAACTTCCTGTCCCCAGCCCTCCCTTTTCATTTTCAAAAGTTAAGGAGAAAGGATAGTTGGGATAATTAATACCAAAAACCAGTTCTATGGCAGCTTTTGGTAAACAGAATAGCTGTTCACTTTAATTGAATGGAATTCTCTATCACTACCTCCAGATTATTCTTTTAATAAGGCTCCATCCATTTCCCAGCAAAGAAGTATAAATTATCTTTTCCCCAAGGCAGACAAAAATGGGAGTCTGGAAAGCAGGTAACTATAATGTGAAACTCTGTCCCACACCTTGAAGCTGGGCTCCACAGGAGTGGCATTGGCAGAGATTGCTTTGCAGGAAAACTGCTGGCAAAGAGAATGGTGATGTTTTCTTTTGTCCCTCACTATCCAACTCTTCTGCATTTCTCTTACTAACAGGATCAATTAAGTCCTATCAATAAAAAAACATCTAGGAAAAGCATGCTAGCAGAGTGCAGTTTGCAGCTCTGGAAGAAAAAAAAACAAACCAAAAACCAAGAAGATTCCCTTCAGCCTTACCGGGAACACTGGCTCATTTTCAGATTGAGGATTCAAGGGTGCATAGTTTAACTTCAAAGTTCTTATTTGTCACTATTAATATTCCCACTGACTGTATACTGGCAAGATACTGCAAAAAATAGCTTAGTTTGGTTGACTTTTGGTTTTGATTAAATAAACTGGGACATACTATGATCAAATGATGTTTTGGCAGGACTTGATAATCCTTGAGGTCTTTTCCAACCTTAATGATTCTATGATTCTAATTATTGGAAGACATTCTCTATTTGTCTTAAAAGAAAATACACTGATTTCCTGTAGTGACACTCACACTCACATGCTAAGTCACCTTCTGTAGCCCGTAAGAGGTTGATGGAGGGTGCAATGAGAAAAGTGCACCATGCATGGACTACGCATGCACTGCTGCGTAGGGGGACTTCTGTAGCTTACACAAGTGGGAACGTAAACACAAATGAAAAAGTCCTCTTCTTCCTCAGTGCATCCCAAGTTGGGTGGGAGAATAAATATAACGTGAATTAAGTTTTTATTCATATTATTTGTTAAAAGGGTTCTCAGCACTCACACTCCCTATTTTACAAGAGTTCTCCCTTGGATTTACTGATACTGCTCTCTATTATTATGATAGAAGACTGATTGGCATCCAATTCAGGTCTAACTGATGAAAAGCCTTAGAAGATTTACAGGTAATAGAAGAACTTAAAAAAATAGCTCTCCTTCCCCTTTCTGTGTTTGATAGCTTTGAGTAAGAGCCAATACTTTTTATTTTCAAAGTCCATTTGATTTAGATGTCATGAAGAGAACACACACATCTTTCCCATCATTCATTTATTTGAATATACAGCTCAATCTGATAAATTCTGTAGAACAAAAATGCCTTTGTGAACATTTCTTATGAAAGGTGCTTGGTAGAGGGCTGCAGTTTGTATGCATTTGAAATCATATGCTAAAGTACTGCTGCCTCGGATGGCATAAATCAGCTTAAGTTCCATTGACTTCAGTCAAATAAATCACTTAAACTGTTCTGTCATCTTCCTGGCTTTATACAACTAACCTTGAAAATATCTTCAGAGTGTTTAGCAAGAGACATTACCAAGCTATCATGAAGGGAGGCTAAATCACACTATTTAGGAATCTGGCTCACAGTTAAATATGGGGGTTTTATTTATCCCCATCACCTACTACTAATGCAAAGTATTTTCAAGGGTGTCTCCAGCTTTATGTGAATCTTCTAATTTACTCTGCAGTCAGAAAGGTCTATTGTCAGTAATCAATTCATTGTTTCTTTCTAGGGAAAGCTAAAATCCTTTGCTGCCAAAATCATTCAGCTCCTGAAGGAATGGACTGAAACTTTCCCCTATGATTTCCAAGATGAAAAATCCATGAAAGAGTTGAAGGAGATTGCTCACAGGATCACACAATGTGATGAGGTAAGGTGGGGGGTGGGGGGGTGGAGAAAAGCCATTAAGTGGTAAAGCAATATTTGACAACCTTTATATATATAGTTTATCATACTATATACACACCTTTGCTCCAGCATGCACTGTTTTCTAAGTGGACTACAACAGCAGTTGCTAAGCTGTCAGTGTAACTGCAGGACATGGGCTGAGTGATAAACTTAATGGTCCATTAGCAGAAAATATGTATAATCGCCAAGTGTAAGAGGAAGAGGCAAAATAGTCATGATGATATGAAAAATGGATGTGGTGCAGAAGGAGAAAGGAAGGAAAGTGACTATACTGGCACAATATGGTTTCATACTGAATTATCTACCATCCTTTGTACTTTGCTGCTGCTCTCATAGTCTAAGTCCTGCAAGACATATCAACTAGTTGTACCAAATGTACTGTTGCTCAAGGTGAAGATGCTTATTATTTAATACTTCTCTCCTAGCAATAACCAGGAACTGTTCTTTTCCTATGTTTCAAATGACATGCACAGTATTTCCACTACCGAAGCTATATTTGAGCTCTGCTAGCTAGCCAATCACCAGTCTTAACAGCTCTGACTTTCTGGCATATGAAGAAAACTAGAGCTCACAAAAGACTTTTCTAAAGCAAACAGATACAGTAAATTCAAATAAAACAAGTCCAGCCCTAACCATTCTATGATTCTAAGGGCTGTTAGTTTTCTGTTTGGTTTGGTTTTTTTTTTTTTGTTTGTTTGTTGGGTTTTGTTGTTTGGTGGGGTTTTTTTTTCTCCAACACTCACAAAGCCTACACTTTTTTCTCATTGAGAAAGTCTCTGTAATTACCAATAGACAGAAGGAAGGATGTAATCAAGAAATGCAAGGGAATTAATTGTAAAGTGTTTGTGTGAACGTGAAGGCTTACTTATATACAAGTAGAGGCTTTTATATACAAGTAGAGGCTTCTTCTTGTTTTCAAACCCACAACTTCAAGAAAGTTTTGAGAACAATTAGCAAGAAATGGGAAGACAATTGTATTATGTGTTTTTGTTGATTCAGGTACAGAGAAAATGAAGAACAACAGGTTTGACAGAACTGCAAGAATCAGTAACAGGACACAATACAATTAGGTGTTACCAAGTTGTCAAAAGGAAGTATGTCAGGTTTGTTGCATCAGCAGAGCTGTTTACCTGGATGCCATTATGAAAATGTCAGTGCCTTAGTAGCAGGGGAGAAGGAAATAGGATTATAATATGCCTTATAACATTCCCTTTGTAGACGAGGGTGAAGAGGTGTACGTTGGCAGAGATACTTCTGTGAAAGGGGACTTGGCAGAGGCTTTATTTAACATCTGTATCTTCGTATTTAATTTGCCTATTACTTTGAACTAGAAAGAAATGGTGGCCTTTCTTTCTCTTTCC